TCCATCTTGATAATGTCTAGCCATGTAGGCATAAACCATACTGGCCTAGTTTCAGCTCTTGCTCTCGTTAGTTTTGAAACTAATATGGTTCTCATATACTTCCTACCATGCGCTGTGATGGGCCTCAATGAAAGCAGGGCTTGGGTCAAAAGCGGGCCAAAACGGCCCGACCCGGGCTGCACCTCGAGACAGGCCGGCCCAATCCACCCCTAAACGGCCGGGCCAAAAGTAGGCATCTGGCCCGACCCAACCCGACTTTTTGGCGTGAAATTCGCCCCCATGGCACGTAGCAAACCCTTTAGCAGGCCCCCAACACACTCATTGCAAACCTTTCCACACCTCTCATATGCACCACCACAACCTCCCTCCTTCCACTCACCCATTTTCTCTACTTCTTTGTTGACATTGTGCACAGACCAGCTACATCTACAACAGTTGCCATACCATTTGGCATGCCAACTAGTTTTCTGACTTGGGCATGATAGAACTACTAGAACTGTGCCTGTCCTGCTCTCTCTGCCCCTCTATAAAACCCCTGATTCACCTTCGATAAAACATGGAAGATGTTCCTCAATCATGTTTAAAGATAAATTCTAACCTTAACAAAACTTTGAACATGACTTCAACATGGAATGATTCCAAAGGGTCCACAAAAGCAGACAGTGGGTTTGGATGAGAGGAGGACCATGGGATGAACGGTTCAAGTAGCAAGGGAGGGCAAGTGAAGAACAAAGAAACACACAAAGGCATCCAGCGAATCCATGGTCCGCAAGGGCTCAATCAGCGAACGCAAGTACATGGAGCTGCACCTGTTGCCATACCACTTGACATGCCAACTCGTGCTCTGACTTCTGCATGGTAGACCTACTAAAGCTGTGCATGTCCTGCTCTCTTCCTCGTCAGACTTCATCTTTAAAGTGATTTAAACATACAACTGTTGCAGCGTGGAAATTTATTCCAGATGCAACATCGAAAATGTTCACTTGCCCGATGATCCTTAATTCTTAATCCTGGTGAGTTAACATGGTACCATCCTAACATGCCTTCAAGAACTGATGGGCTAATCAAAGCAGACAGTCGGTTTGGAAGAGAGGGGGACAATGGCAAGAGCAGTTAAAGAAGAAAGGGAATGCAAGAGAAATACAAAGAAACACGTAGATTGCATGGTGAGCAAGGGTTAGGTCTCCAAAATGCAACAAGGGATTGCAGACGCAGAGCACGCAGAATGGTGGAGGGAGAGAAGATGTAGAGGCACTCAATTCAAGTCTAGCAAGAGTTGGTGCACACATGGGGGGTGCAAGACCAGCTACAGTTGGTGCTCTCACATTTCAGTCACCATGCCTTGTTCATCGCAGTCCACATTCTCGGCCAAGCTGCAGTCCCCCCCAGCCACCCACCCAGGGAAAATCGGCCCCCATGCTTGCTGCAAGTCCAACAGGACTTGCTCTGGCGGCAGATGGTGGGGGAGAGGGGTGTAGGTAGGGAAGAGAAGGACAGAAGGAGGGTGTGGGGCAGGGGACAGAGGAAGGAAAAATGTATGTCATCACCCGTGTGTCGCACCCTTCTCCTCCTCTCTCACTCATCAGCCTGTGCAGCTGACCACGGAATTGACACCTGCGGTGGTGAAGTACCAAGAAACCGTGACACGGAAATTGAAACTGCTGAGTGAAAATCATCATGCAAATGGGACCATGGGCATGACGTGGTCTCTGATACATCCACTGGTAATGATAGTGCCATTGAAGATAGGAGGCATAAACGGGAGAGGGGGTCAAATAAGGGGTATGTATGGCTGGGGATGTGCATTCCCTGAGCTCCATTAGGCACTTGAGTAAGTGATTTACGTACGGCTGCTATGACTCATGGTGAAGATCCTAGGCACTCGAGCTGCACCTCTTGCCATTGCTGCATCCAGCAATGGCAGCAAGCCATCAACACATAGAATTTTCCCCCCATGACTGCTGGAAGTCCAGCCAGCAAAAGTTGCACTGGCTGCAAAGCAGTAGGGGCCGCAATGGAGTAGGGGAAAAAAATCAAAGGGAGAGGGAGAAACGCCCTGCTTCTGGGGGGGTAAGAAGGAAAAAGAGATGAATCCCTCCCTCTCTCAAACCCTGCACTGGACATTCGAGCAGACAACTTGAAGTGTGATGGGCAAGCACGCGTAAATTGAGAGGGATTAGGGAATATCGGGGAGATTTCTATCATGTTGCGAAACGACTTGCATGCTGCTGCATTCTCAAGGTGAAGTTGTCCGCTCAAGCTGCTAAGGATCATGCGTTGGATGAGAATCACGAATTTAAAGAATCATGGATCGTGCCAAATGGCACATCCGGTGTGCCCCTTGGCTTTGATAATCCGCTGCCATGCCACGATTGGTGCCACTGAGACTATCTTGTGCATGAGGTTTTGATAACTGGAGCGGCATGAGCTTGAACAACGAGACACGGGAAACATATCAGGGCACAAAGAAGGGGGGCATAGCAGCTGCTGCAGTTTTCTCCTGCTACTCTCTTCAGAGGAAAATTGGTGACAAACCCCTACGAGTGCTGGACAAGTTTGAGGCTGAAACCTGAGCAGATTGAAACTGCTCTACACCCATACCTAAGCAAAGATAGAGGTTGAATCCACTCTACACACATTTCGACAGGCAAGAAGGCCATGGACAAGGCAAGGAAGGCAAAGGTGTCGGCAGGTTCCAGCCACATCTGAAATGTGCCAACTGTGTGAAGGAAGCCCCAGCGGGCAGGATAAACTCTTTAAGAACTTGATCTTAAACCTCCATAGAAAACTGCGAGGGCAAGGTAGTATCTGCTACCTAGGCCCTCTAGCTACGCCGGTTACGACCGAAGGTGTCTTTGCGTTGTATGATGCACTGTCACCTACAAAAAGAAAAATAAAAAGCTTGAACAGACTTTGTTGGTACGTTATTTCTGTTGGTGTTTCCACTGCTTCGCACTGCCCGTGACACGATCACAGCTGAGCTGAAATGCGCTCCGCGTCATCGTGGTGACACCTGAGTGTTCCTGCTGGAATGCTCCTACTAACGTCACCAAGACTACATAAGACATGAAAGCTATCAGGGCAATAAATACATGAGAGAGGGTGGGGGTCGAGGGCAGGGGGGGCGCCTCGGGGGACCAACTGAACGCCAACTTTAAGTTCGTCTAGTACTAGAACGAACCTTGGGAGGCTGCAAACGGGACACAGCGGATGGGAGAAACCACAGCGATAAACGTCAGAAAGAAGAGTAAGCGGAGTCGAATGATGCGTCCCGCGCCTTCCGTTGCCATCGTGGTGCGGCAAGCTTCCACTAAACCCTGAATTGGTAGTAATTTTAATCGCTTGTGAATCTGTGCGTAATCAGTAGCAGTGGTTCTAAGCGTCAATAGAAACGCGTAAATACTTGTGGACGGTAAATAAAGAAACTACTGTATGATGAGAGCCTACTCGTAGAACCTGGAGTGCAGACGACATCAAGTTATGATGAGGAATCCATGAAAGCTAGCTTGAAATGAAGCTAGAGGAAAAGAGAGTGGCAGGAGGAGGTGAGGGTTGGGGATGAAAGTCCACTTTCTTGCCAAGATCGCTTTGCAATTTCCCACGTGCCTGCGACAGGCCAACATAGCTGACGAGCGTCAAATTCGCGAGTTGCGGCAAATGCGAAAATATCGTCAAGTTGCCCTGCTCTGGCGAATTCCAAGGCGATACGAGTTTCGGTGGTGGCGTTTTATGCCAACAGGGCGCGTCGAGCCACCGAAAATCTCGCCAGGTCTGCGAGTCAGAAAGATAGGACAGCGCTCCCTGTTTGACGAACACGACCTCTTCATTCGCTCGCGCAATAACGGAGCGAAACAAACAAAACCCACACGACTACTACAGCAAATGACGAATGATTCTTCCAGCATACCTTAAGCCTACAAACATGTTTGGAAAATCAAAATATGGTATAAGCGACCCGCGCCTGGTGACATGGTGAGCTCGCCGCTCATTCCGCGACCTACCTTACCGCGACCTAGAACTGTAAAGTGGTCGCTAGGCTAGTGATAAGGTAGATTTGACATACAGTTGACGGTTCAACAGAATGGGCCTCTAATAGCCATGATTGCTTCATCTGCCCTTCTTCCGTAACTTCTCTGATGTAATTTCGAAGGATAGTCGAAACCGGAACGTCACTTTGCTGGATACCGTATGAGCTGACTTAGCAATAGCACTAGTAACACTGCTCACCGCAATCCCTAATGTTTTCCATGCGATGGCAAGTCGAGCGAGGGTCACGTGCGTCGCTAGCTGCTCCGTGAGCGCCGAGAAATTCCGAATGGCCTACCAGTTGTAGCGCCACGCGTATTGAGAGAGGCGGCGTCACGAGCATCGCAGGCATCGCAGCGAGTCGAATGGCGTCAATTGACGATCAACGGAACCGTCAGCTTGCCTTTGCTGAGAATTTTCGAGTCATAATCGTTTCGATGCTGCTTGGGGGGATTGTGTTCCCCCCTCTTTGCTCCTCTTCCCATGCATGTTCCCCCTGCTTCGCACCAACGTTTGCTGTTTCATTCTGTGCTTTGTTGTGCGTTCCATTTCTTATGTACCCTGCTCTCCTCCTCCCCCTCCCCTTCTCCCTGTTTCCCCTTTCTTTCCCCTCCAATCCACCTGCCTTCCCGCCTCCTCATTTCTTCTCCCCACTCCCTCCCCCCTCCTTCATGCGACCTGCCATCCTCTCACGGGCCACGACAACCTGCTGGAGAGGATGGCAGGATTGCAGGATGGCAGGGCGACAGGGCGGCAGCCATGCACCACTCGCGTTTGCAGTGGGTCCGCGCAGCCATGTCGATCAGAAAACCATGTCGTCGCCTTAGCAACTGACCAGACGGCCTTAGCGTTCTGTCAAGTGGCCGTCGGCATTGCCTTCCTCATCGTCACTTTCAGCACTGGTGGGAGAATTGACTTCTCCCGACCTCCTCCTCTCCCCTGCTCTTCAAGGAAGCGCGTTCTCCCGCGGTTAGATGACTGACGCCTTCCTCGAGGTGGGTGAGAGGGTTGGGGAGAGGTGGGCGCGGGAGAGGGGAGTTGTGGGTGCGGGGATAGGGCTGGGGGGTAGTTGGGAAGGGGCTGGGAGATGGTTAGTCGTGGAGGGGGGTGGGGGTGGGGATGGGGGAGGGGGGGGAGGGGGGGGGGGGTGAGGGGGCATGGAGAACGAAAGAGGGTGTTCCCGCGACGAGATCGGACGGCTTCCTCGAGGTGCGGGAAAGGGGCGGGGAAGGGGTGGGCGTGGGGGAGGGGAGATGTGGGGGCAGGGAGAGGGCTGGTGGCTGGGAGTGGGCTAGGAGAGGGGAGAGGGGGGGAACAAGAGGGGAGGGGGAGAGTAGGGAGAGGGGTGGAAGGCATGGACAAAGAAATCGGGTGCGTTCGCAACAAGATTGCAGACGCATTCCTCGAGGTGCGCCGCGGGAGAGGGGGGGAAGGAGGGGAGGGGGGGGGGGGGGGGGGGGGGGGGGGGGGGAGGTGGGAGTGTTGGGTTGGTTGGTGATGAAAGTGAGAGGGTTGTGCAGCGAGGAGAAATGAGTGACGACGGGGATTGCTAGCAGTCGTTTTTCGCTCGAGTCCCAACCCAACCCCTCTCACTTCTCCACTCTCCGCCACCCGTGCTACATTTATCGCTCAAGTGTGCACACATTGTGCGACATCCCCAAACCTTGGTCTCCCTGCCTGTTCCCCTCTGCGCCATTCCCACTCTTTCCGCCTTCCTGAAGGTGCACCGGGGAAGATGTGTGAGGACTTGTGCCAGCAGTAGCAGACGGCATGTTGCTGCGCAAGCTTGGTTTGGGTTGTCTCAAAGCAACCAGGCCTTTTCTCTCCCCTCTGTGCCTGCCTGACAACCTCCGTCACCCTGCCCCTCCGTGTTCCCGTCTCCAACCCCCCCCCCCCCCCCCCCCCCCGCTGCAGGTGTGTGTGTGAGTGTGTGTGTGAGGGCTGTGTGCCAGCAGACTGCATGGTGTTGTGCAAGCTGGTGTCGAGTCGTCCCCTCCTCCCCCCCAAACGCCCCCCCCCCCCCCCCTCTTCTGCCCCCTTTCACCCCCGCCAAGTGTGTGAGGAGGACCATATACCAGCAGTAGCAGATCGCATGGTGCTGTGCAAGCTGGTTTCAAGTTGACCCCTCCTCCCACCGCTTCCCCCTTTCTCCCCCCGCCAGGTGTGTGAGGACGTGTACCAGCAGACCGCATCATGGTGCTGCGTAAGCTCGCGCAGGACATGCGCGAGTGGATACACCGGCGGGTGAGCCATGGGATAAGGGGTGATTGTTATGGGATGGTGCCGGTAAGCAATGGGGGGGGGCCGCGAGGAGGGGAGAAGGGGGATTAGAAAAGACGGAGGGATAGAGGGTGCTGGCACAGGACATGCGCGAGTGGCCGGCCTGCGGGTGGGCGAGAGGGGCAGAGAAGGGGGGGAGGGAATACGGGGGATATGGAAGGAAGGGTTAAGAGGCGATGGGGGGAAGAAGATGGCAAGCGCCAGGCCAGCATCGGTCACCTTCGCTTGATTGAGAAAGAGGTACTGGAGACTGGTCAAGGACTCAATGACTTCCAAGGCACTGTCTGTTATATATTTTGCACAAAAGAGGTCTAGCATCTCCAGCTGTGGCAGCCTGTAGAGGTGCTTGATTCCCTCTGCACTGAAGCCTGAGCTATGCTGCAATACAACTCCCCTCAGATGTGCCATTGTGGACACATGCCCGAGGATGTCGGTTGAGAGGCGGTGGCAATGCCTCAGGTCTATACTGAAATACTTTGATGCTGTCTTTATTGCCTGGAAGAAATGGGTTGAGAGGGAAAATTTGACAGAACAAGGGGTGAATATATGGCGATAAGACAGAACTAGCAAGGAGTGAATGCCAAGTGGAACAAGGCATGCCTGTGCAACAACGCACTCAGCACTCACCTCCAATGCTTTCTTCCGATCACCTTCACTCTGCCTAATTTCCAGCTCAACATTCAACTTCAAATCTTGCATCCTCTGCCCTTCATTACAGGCTGCCGATTCCTCCGTGGCATGTGGCCAATTCACCTCCTGCACCTCCCTCCTCCTCTCCTCCGCTGTCTCTTCTTTCCTTCTCTTTCTACTCTTCCCTCTTAGCTCTATTTCATCCGATGCCCTGCTGAACTCAGCCGGTTGCTCTACTCTTGAGTCCATGAGTTCCGCCAACTGCCCCTTAACCGCTTTCAACTCCCCCTTAACCGCTGCCAACCCCCCCTTCACTGCTTTCAACATATGCCGCAACTCGTCCAACTCCTCGTTGTGCCCAGTCAGCTCCTCCCTCACTGCTGCCAGTGCCGCCTCTTTGACCACTCCAATCAGTGGCCCCATCGCCCTCTCGGCAGCCATAGCATCCAGTGGACTCTCCTTCAACAGCCCTGCTTCAATCACCGATCCTGGCAATCAACCACCTCCTTCACTGCAGACTGTCGAAAGTAGACAACAGCTGGGTGGGGTGAAGGGTAAGGTCGGGTGCAAAGAGGAAGTTGGTTGTGAATGCACACACAATGGGAAAGCACTCGTGTGGGACGAGGCACAAAACGATGGACCACTCAGTGAGAGACGAAGCTTGTGCACACACATGCAGTTGACACGAGATTAGACTTCAGTGTAATAAGGGGAGGCCAGGGGGAGGAGCAGAGGAGACAAGATATCAGGGAGGGGCAAGAAATGTGGGTGGGTACTGCCAAGCTGGGACATGGGAAATAGTTGCAACAATGGGGAAACGAATGCACAGAGCGAAGGGTGGAGACCAGCAGAGAGCAGGGAAGACTGCAGGTTAATGTATGTGGAGCACAGTCGGCTGGCACACAGAGGGTTGGTACGCTAGTGGTGTGGCGTAGGTGTGAGCTGAACGATTAGGGCAGCAACAATGTCATAGGTAGAACGGTAGTAAGAGTGACAGTTATTGGAAAGGCAACTGTTAGGCAGGAAACTAGTAGAGAAATATAGTGTGGCCTGCCAACTCTTCGCCTTACCTCAGTCAGGAAGGCGAGAGAAGCCGGAGCGAGCACACACCTAGGGTAGTGAGTGAATGCCATAGTAGGAATGAATGAGCAGCTCGTTGAGCCGAGACAGACGATCCCTGAAATCGACTTGCAACGGGGCTTGGACCCACCTCGTTTTCAGAGAGCTGGTCAGCTTGGGACCAGAGCGACTCAGGTCGCGCTGGGTTTCTACGACACACTTTCCAAGTCAGATCCAATGCATTCAAGATCTACAATTCTCATACCTCCTCCATTGGAGGAGGTCGGCAAGGAGTGCGAGACATGCAAAATCCCCCGAGCTAGTTGACGACTACACTTGGGGGAGGTTGAGATGAGGTGGCTCGCACGCGAGTCGCAAGGCTGGGGCGAGCCTGGCAGTTTGCCGAGAGCCAGTGGATGTATTTGTTCTATGGCTGACCTAGAGACTCTGAACTGGCTTCAGACAATGAGATAGCAAAAACCATCTCGCTCGTTGGTGGTTAGTGGCTAGGCCTTTCAGAAGTAACCCAACAACAGAATTAGTCATTCACTAACTAGGCAAGTCACAAGCTAGGTCACAAACATGCTGCGCCATTCACACCTAGTTCACTCAGAAGCTAGGTCGGTCACAAACTAAGACACTCACTAGTCTGTTCAGTCAGAAGTACAGCGTCTAGGTCACTCGCAGGCTGAGACACTCCCAGGCTGAGACACGAATTCGTGTCAAAATTCGCGTCTGACACACAAAAACATGTCAGAATCGAGATCTGACACATACAGCATGTGAGAATTCGAAAAAAAGCCTATAAAAGCTGACGCGCAATAACATTTACGACTACAGTTTATAAAAGGGGGGTATTATAATGTTTAGGGGCAAAAGGGGGGTCCTCCCATTTTGATACCAAATAGTCCCAGTACCCTATAGAGAGTCCCGGGGGACCCTTTTACCGGCGGGTCTTATAGCCGGAATAATACGGTACTAGTGTTTTAGTTAGATATTGGAATCTATTGCTGATGGTGTACATTTTTGTATTGCTTAGCCTCTTGCCTTTCCTATACCTTGTGGGAGAAGGGAGGTAGAAGGAGAGGGAGAATGGGGGGGGGGGGGGGGGGGGGGGGGGGAGTGGAGGGGGGAAGGTAGTGAGGCGGGGGAGGGAGGAAGATGAGGAATATGGTAAAGTGGGTGAGGTGGGCTCGCCAACGCTGCGGCTCAACACCACCCCCTCAATCCCACCACCCGTCAACCCCCTTTGGTGCAGCAATGGAGAGCAGCAGCGTGACCTCCTTGACACTCGTGGCGAGGCACACGGACACTGGCTCTCCATTTTGGTCCGGTCGGAGCTGATTCAGGTGCATGTGATGAGAGCGGATGGGCAGGGAAAGGGGCGGGAACGAGGAGGGGAGGGGGAGGGTATGGGGATGGGAAAGGGGGGAAGAGGGGAGCGGAAATGGGGGAGAAAGGGAAGGGAAGGGAGGGGAAGTGGAGGGGAAGTGGAGAAAAAAGCGAGGTGAGGGCGAGGGGAAGGGGAGGGAAAGGAGAGGGGAATGGGGAGTGGAACGGGAGGGGAAGGGGAGTGGAATGGTTGGGGAAGGGGAGGCCAAGGAATTAGGGAGTAGAGGGAAAGGAGAGAGAATGGGGAGGGAACGGGAACGGAGGAATGAGAAAAACGGGGTTGTTGGCTGGTGTATAAAATGAAAGGAAGGTACATCCCACTCAGCCATGCACTGGTGCCATCTGCCCAACCCTAATTGCCATGCAAAACCTTGCAGCGCAATCCAAGAACACGAATTACACACCATGCACGCACCATGCACGCACCATGCATCCACACACCATGCACACACCATGCACGCACATTCCATGCACATACCCATGCGCAGATAGCACATAACCATCCACCCACCCACCCTCTTCACCATGCTCATCCGCGCACATAGTACCCACCCATCCACCCATCCACCCACCCCGTTCACCATGCATGGGAATGCGGGATGCGTCTCTTGCTGCTGCTGCTGCTGCCGCTGCCTCCTTGGCTCGCCTCATCTGCTCTTCCTGCCTCGGCGTCTCTGAAAGCTGTGCCAAGTGCATATGACCAGGCTGTTGGTGCCCACACACATGAGCTGTTAAGTGAAGGGGCAGTTCCGGGTGGGGAAGGGGACGGGAAAACACATGAGGGAGGTTGCTTGCGGCTACTCTTCCTGCCTCAGTGGCTATGGGAGGTCGTCCACCAACACACTATCAGTGCCAGAGGAGGGCAGGAGCTGCTTGAGAACTGTCCAGGGGGCTACATGCGGGTGGAAGGGAGTGCAGAGAAGAAGGATGCCGGACCGGCCCAGGCCCAGCCCAGGTCGGGCCGTGCCCGGCTGCCCAAAATAGCGGGCCAGGCCCAGCCCGGCCCGGCCCGGGCCGAGCCTGGCCTGCCCCGAGCGGAATGAGCTAGACTTCAGCCCGGGTTCGCCCAGGGGGTACCCAGGCCGAAAAGGGCCCGGGCGGGCTGAGTATGGCGGCCCGGCCCGGGTGCAATTCCGTTATAGATACATTGTTCTTTGGGCCTGTTTTGAAGAGGCAAACAAGTCTAGGGCCTGACCCGGGCTGGGCTGGCCCGCCCCTAAAAGGGCGGGCCAAAAGCGGGTTGACGACGGCTCGGCGGGCCAGGACTGCGGAAGGCAAAGGCAGAGGAGGTGGCGGGAAGAAGGGGGAGAGGAGCAGCAATGGAGGTGGCGTGGGAGCGAGGAGCGATGGTGCCAGGGAGACCTGCAGAGGGGTCTTTCAGCTCAACTGCCGCTCACACTGCTGCTGTTGCTTGCTACTTCTGTTCCCTACCAGCCCTGTGTCCATCCATACAGTCACTTGTTTTCTCATGCCACTCATGCCACGGTGCCACCACTGCTGCAGCAGGAGCAGTAGCCGTGACATTCTCAGGTGGGGAAGGTGGGTGAAAGTCATGCAGCAGCCTCTGCAGAAGCAGCAGCAGGAGGATTAGGAGCACACGCCTCCTTGATTCGTACCTGCCCTGCCTGCCCCCGTTGCTGCCCCACCTGCTGCAGCATGCACCTTCGTCGGGCTCTCATCAGCTCCGGTCGCACCGATTGCGCCTCTCCCTGCTGCACTCCAGCTCTGCAACCAGCCGAAGTCGCTGCTGAGAGGTATTCTTATGTGGGATGGGCGTGGTGATAGTCGGGAGGGCGACTGTGGGGACCGGGTGTCGCTGCTGCTGATGCTGCTCCCTTGAGGTGCCCTTGCGACCCTTCCAAGCTCTCCCATCCCTCGTTCATCCTTTGTGGTTCCTCTCCCCCACACACCTGCCATGGCGCAGCAGAACATGGCACATTGATGAACACCTGCACGTCGGCACGGAGGGGAAGTGTAACAGGACAAAGGTTGGAGAGGCAAGCCGTCACATACTCAATTGCACACACACAGGGTGCAAGCGGTCACATGGTCAATCAGTGCAAAACACCCGATACTGATCGCATCAACATCGGCCGACAAGGAGACTCGTTCCGATTCGATTACACTCGCTCAACTAGACTCACCCTCGTTGTCGCCGAACAACTAAAGGGCGATATCAATCGTATCGGCCTAGATAGCACGTCTTCCTTCGTCTGCCATTTCAGAAAGCTACTGGAAAGCTCCGACTTCCCTCTTTCTCTCCGATAGCCTCTCTTGCACCCCCTCCCAAACCCCCCCACTTCCCCCCACTCACCCCATGCAGGCCAAGCTGCACATCCTCCTGAGTGCAGCATCACCGGTCTCCGCCTGGTCGCCCTGCTCTCATCTGTATCCACCATCCCCCAGCACGGGCTCGATCACCTGCATAGCTCCCCCATGCACCCTCATGAACGGCCAGATTGGCCAGCCAGCTAACTCCCCACACCCTCCTACTTCTCATCTAACCCCCGTCTACTTCCACCAAGCGGAAAACCAGAACCCCTCCGCCTTCTCCCAGCTCCCGCCTCTACTCCACTTCCCACTCCCCCCCTCTGATCCTATCTGTCTCGACCTCCCTAACCCCTCTCGGGACTCGTCCCTCTCAATCCCCTCACCCCCTCCTCTCACCCCCTCTTTTCCCCCTTTCTCCCCCCCCCTCCCCCCCCCCCTTCCTCGTCCCCCCTCCTCTCCCCCATCCATTCCCCACCTCCTCGTCCCCCTTCCTCTCCCCCCTCCTTTCCCCCTCACCTCCCTCTCCCCTGTCCCTCTCCCCTGTCCCTCTCCCCTGTCCCTCTCCCCGTCCCTCTCCCCTGTCCCTCTCCCCTGTCCCTCTCCCCCGTCCCTCTCCCCTGTCCCTCTCCCCCGTCCCTCTCCCCTGTCCCTCTCCCCCGTCCCTCTCCCCTGTCCCTCTCCCCCGTCCCTCTCCCCTGTCCCTCTCCCCCGTCCCTCTCCCCTGTCCCTCTCCCCTGTCCCTCTCCCCTGTCCCTCTCCCCCGTCCCTCTCCCCTGTCCCTCTCCCCCGTCCCTCGCCCCTGTCCCTCTCCCCTGTCCCTCTCCCCTGTCCCTCTCCCCCGTCCCTCTCCCCTGTCCCTCTCCCCCGTCCCTCTCCCCTGTCCCTCTCCCCCGTCGTCCCATGCTCACCCCTCCCCCCCCCCCCCCAACCTCACAGAAACAACACATGCACTCCACACCACTCCACATGTCTGCATACCTCAGCACTCCACTGCCACTTGCCACACCGCGCCAAAAGAGAGGTCCTGAAGGGATGGAACGAATGAAGGTACCAACCAAGGAAGGACTGGCAGGCAGGAGAGAGGCACGGAATGGAGGGAAGGTGATGAGGAAGGTGACTTTTGAGGCGCCTTAAAAGGGAAGGGTGGTGAGGAAGGTGCACGGAAAGGAGTGGAACTTGGAAGGGCCAGAAGAAAGAGTGTGGGGAGAAGACAACTCTCCCACCAGCACCGTCAAATGATGATGCCGCTCGCCATTCAATTCGCTGCTCGTGCCAGCTCCGACGCCTGTGATGCTCGCCTCGCCGCCGCCACTCGCCTCTCACAATCCACGCGGCGCTACGACTTCCTCGGCTTTAGTCACTGCCGCCAATAGGAAGCCGCATTAAGGATGACGAACAGCAGTATTGGCGAATTACGTCCTCAGCTCATACGGAATCCAAACGACAAAGCAAGATAGGCGTTCCTCTTGAGACTGTGCTTTGAGATTACATCACAGCGCGGTTACAAAAAGAAGGACTCAGTAAGGAATGGCGTTTCCTTGGGTGCAAGGAATGGGCAGGGGGCTGCGGGAGGAGAGCGGGAGAAAATAATATCTGCCGTTTCTCTCTCGAATGCCTCCTGTCAATCGTGCATTCGCGCTTCTCGCAATGTTGGCGGCGGCGTCACACAGGGGGGATGTGCGATAGTAAGAGGGTAAGGCGTGGGGCGGGGGAAGAGGTGCGAGAGTGATGTCTCCCTTCTTTAATCCGATGTTTTTACCCGTTCTGACATACCATAACGAGTAGACTTGCCATCTCGTACGATGAAACGAGTCAACTCGACCTTATTACTCGACCTTATTAGTCGACCTTATTACTCGACCTTATTAGTCGACCTTATTACTCGACCTTCATTAGTCAACCTTATTACTCGACCTTATTAGTCGACCTTAATACTAGATTGCAAAAAGGTACGTCCCAGCTCGATCGATCGCTAAGTCCCTGGTCTGCCACAATCCGTATGCTGAAAGCACTATGTATCTTTTGCTCTAGTGGTTGTTAGGGTTTCGTTTCGTTCCCGTTATTGCGAGAGCGAATGAGGAGGTCGTTGTTCGTCAAACAGGGTCAGCTGCTGTCCTGATTCGTCTGGCTGGCAGACCTGGCGAGATTTTTGGGAGCTCGACACGCCCTGCTGGCATGCCACGCCACCATTGCACGAAACTCGTGTCACCTTGGAATCCGCAAAGCAGGGTAACTTGACATTACGTTCGCATCTGTCGAGATCCACATTTTACAGCTGAATGGGAAGTCGCAATTCGCGAATTCGACCTCGCCAGCGATGTTGGCCTCTCGCAGCCACAAAGAAAATTGCGTAGCAGATCTTGGCAAAAAAAATGGGACTTTAGTTTCAACTCCCACTCTCCTCCCTGCCACTGTTAGTCTCATTCCTAACTTGCTATCTTCATAGTCGTCTGCATTCCAGGTAACATCATTTTTTTACCTGATCTGTCTACAGATATTCTTGCGTTACTCTGGACGCTTAAAACTGCTACTATTTGCGCACAGCTTCTCGCCGCACCACGATGGCAACGGACAGCAAGGGACGCATCATTCGGCTCAGCGTACTCTTGCTGACGTATCTCGCCTATGTTTCTCCAGTCCACGGTGTCCCGTTCGCCGCATCCCAAGGTTTGTCCTTGTAGAATGATGCTAAGCGTTCAGTCGGCCGCGGTGCGGCCCCTGCCTCGACCCCCATCACCAAAAAGGCGCTGTCCCTGAGCTGACCCTAGATTGCCCTGTCTTGGAACCCTAAACTGTCCCCAAAGTATCTTCGGGGTGAGTTCGTGCGATCGAACTGTTTGGGTTGAAACTAAACTTTTTTCAAAATTTAGTCTGTATTATATCTGTCCGAAAATTCCATCGGGTTGACGTGTGATCGGGAGACCCGAGCTCGATCCTAGATTCTGGCTGAGATTACTGTATAGACTTTTTTAGTTGTGGGTCACCTTCGGTTTTGTCTCACATCCATCCCGAAAACGTTTCGAGGGACAGATGTGGGACAGGCCTTTTTAGAGGGGGGCCCTCCCCTCCAATCATTTCCGTATTTTGTTACCCTTACAAATGTCATGTATTATGGAGTCCTAGTGCATTACAGAAAGGGTTCCATGGAAATCTCACACGACGATGGCACCACGATGACGCGGGACGCATTCTGCCTCGGCGGCCCAGCGCCTCGTCACTGCGATAGTAACAGTTTTCGATTCTGCTGTGTCTTCCGCTACCTAACTTAGGTACTTGAAGTACGTCGTTTGGTCAATCCCATGCCGCTCCAGGTACCAAAACGTCATGCACATGCTACTAGTTTCAGCAGTGACCAATCGTGCCATGGCGGCGGATCGTTATAGCCAAGTCATGGCGCTTCACACATCTGTCCATGATCAACCGCGTGATGCTTAGCAGTTTGACCTGCCAAGTTTCAAGTTTGGAGTTGCAGCAGTGTGCAAATCGTTTCTGTGGAACACAATCTCCTCGTGCAGCCTACCCATCACACCTGTCTTCTCTAAAGATATCTGGTGCAGGGTTTGAGAGAGGGAGCGAAGGCCATACGACGTTGATGAGCTGGCCAATTCATCTCTTCTTCCCTCCCACCCCCTCAGAAGCAGGGCGTATCTCTCCCATGTTTTCTCTATCTTGCTCCAGTTTGGCCCCTCTCATCCCTGCTGCCAGTGCAACTCCTGCTGGCTGGACTTACAGGCAAGCACAGAGGGGAGATATAATGTGTGGGTGGCTTGCTGCCATGGGTGGATGCAGCAATGGCAAGGCGTCGTGGGTCATTAACAACCACGAGTAGTCGTAGTTTATTTACTCGCTGTGCCTAATGGAGCTCAGGACCACTCATTCCCCAACGACACTTGCCTCCTATTTGACCTCCTCTCGTGTTCACACCTTCTATGAATCAGTGATCACGTCATGCCCATGCTCCTGTGCGCATGATGCTTATCGCTTAGCATTTTCAATTTCCGAATCACGGTTTCTGGGTACTTCACCATCACATGTGTTCATTCTGCAATCGTGTGGCACGGCTTATGAGTGTGAAGGGGGAGATGAGAAGGGTGCGACACAACCTTCTATCATTCTCTTGCCCTCCTGCCCCCCTTTCCCCCACCATCTGCCACCAGTCCAAGTCCTGGTGGACTTGCAGCAAGCGTGGGTCCGGAGAATCTCAGGGTGGGTGACTGGGGGGGACTGCAGCTTGGCATACGGTGTGTTCTGCGATGCCCAAGGCATGGTGACCAGCATGTGAGAGCACCAAACTCTAGCTGGTCTTGCATCCCCCATGTGCGCCCCAACTTTTGCTGTCCTCTGTTTCCTCTCTCCACCATTCTGCATGCTCTGTATTTGCACTTTGGCGTGTTAACTCTTGCTGGCCATGCATTCCCTGGACGCCTTTTGTTGTTTTGATTTTGTTCACTTGCAGTCCCTTGCTTCTTGAACCATTCATCCCGGTCCTCCTCTCATCCAAACCCACTATCTGATCTGTTAAACCCTTGGAATCGCCCCGACCATGTCCCTCCACGTGCTTAATTTACAAGATTCAGAAACATACTCCCTTAAAAGTCTGGAATAACCTCGCATCTAATGTTCTAATATTGTTATGTTTTATATAGTTTGAGACTTTGGGATCTATAGAGGGAATGAGAGAGAAGGATAGGGACATGTCTAGTAATTCTATCATGCTCAGGTCAGGGAAATAGTTGACATGGCGAGGGGCATGGCAACAATAGTTGTAACTGCAGCAGGTTTATGCGGGAAAGCAGTTATGTTGGAGACTGTCAAGGGAGAAGTAGAGACGAGACTTACAATGCCAGTGCCATTTATCAAAAGCAAATGCTCTCCTTTCAAATGTCACCGCAGAACCAAACCGTCCATATGAAAACGCAGAAATGGAAGTCAGACATTTGCAAGCCGTACAAGGTGTTACTTCTGTCTAACCTACATTAATTAACCCCCTCCCTTCTCCGTTTCCCTCCGTTTCCGTTGTGTGGATCATATTGAAAGGCGTTCAGTCCAGAAAAGCGCTACCCTAATGCACCTCTCAGGTTTCCATCATCTCCATGCATGTAGGCACAGGTGGACAACATGTGGTGGGCTGCACGAACCTCTTCCCAAATAGTACACAAACCACCTTGATGGAGTCACCAATCATTATTGATCCCATTTCCTCATATGATTTATAATGCTCTCCACCCATTCCATTCCACTGCGCACCAGGAATCTGTATGACGATGGCTTAACTGGGTCCATTCCTGATTCCATTAGTGCCTTGGACAGGCTAACCTATCTGTGAGTATGAGTGGTGGGAGCATGCACACATGAGTGTGATCATGTAGAGTCGGGCATATGCAGAGATGAGCCTGAGCAACGCATGAGCAATGGCCTGTAACCAATTCGCGATGAGCCGTGGGTGACCATCATGGTATGATGGCCATCCAGTGGCCAGCTTGTCATGAGCCGAAGGTTGGTCCTGCCAGTTTTTTAGTGCCAGCGATCCTATCCATGAAGTGTAGCCGAGGGGAGCCACAAGCTCGTGTGGCTTGCCTGTTGCCGGCTTGTCAAGAGAGGAATGTCATGAAAAGGAGTTTCTGCATGCACCAATGAGTGTGAGATATGAGAATATATGAGAGTAAGTATGTCAGATGAGAGCGTGTATCAGGATATGGCAAGGCTCTCACAATGCATCCAGTCTGCAACACAAATGAGTGATAGACAGTGGACCATTTGAGCCCATAGAGAGAATTTGCACTGGCCATAGGTAGGAGGTATGTGAACTACCAAAGGCCGAACTTGGACTTCCTGGACTCAAAATTCTTCAGCCCGACAAGTGGCCTGTGTAGAGTCCAAGATGTCATTTGCATGGCTGGAAAGTATGTGATGTTAAGCTTTCTAGGCGCATGCTTGACTGGACTCAGTCACGCTGGTTGAACAAAATTCTCCAACACAACTCAACTAACCAGGCTAACCTGAAATCGCCTCTTAAAATATGCAGACCTTCCCACAATCTATGCCCTTTCCATATCCTCTCTGATTGTCTACTACCTTCTACCAATCCTTGGTTCATTTCTTCGTGCTTGAATCTCTCTCTTCCATGTATACACCAAAAAAAATCTTGTTAGCAATGCCTTGACTGTGTCTATTCTGCCTATTACCTGTCATTTCTATCCATTGCAGTGATATTAGCCAGAACAACCTCGCTGGCCAACTCCCACCAGCAATTGGCAGTCTCACTCATCTTTCATACCTGTAAGGCATTCTAGCATGTTGAAGTATTGCAACGTCCATCATAGCAACCTAGGAGCATTTCATGAAGAGGAGGCATACAAGGTGTTCCAGTCGAGTACCATTGCCCAAGTTTGTTTAAAGCCACAGGCATAAGGTACACAAGGACCGACCTGCGCACCAGGAATCTGTATGACGATGGCTTAACTGGGTCCATTCCAGATTCCATCAGTGCCTTGGACAGGCTAACCTATCTGTGAGTATGAGTGGTGGGAGCATGCACACATGAGTGTGATCATGTAGAGTCGGGCATATGCAGAGATGAGCCTGAGCAACGCATGAGCAATGGCCTGTAACCAATTCGTGATGAGCCGTGGGTGACCATCATGGTATGATGGCCATCCAGTGGCCAGCTTGTCGTGAGCCGAAGGTTGGTCCTGCCAGTTTTTTAGTGCCAGCGATCCTATCCATGAAGTGTAGCCGAGGGGAGCCACAAGCTCGTGTGGCTTGCCTGTTGCCGGCTTGTCAAGAGAGGAATGTCATGAAAAGGAGTTTTCGCATGCACCAATGAGTGTGAGATATGAGAATATACGACGATGACAGATAAGAGCGTGCATCAGGATACAGTAAGGCTCTCACAATGCATCCAGCTTGCAACACAGATGAGACATAGACAGTGGACCATTTGCGCCCATAGAGGTAGGAGGTATATAATTTACGAAAGGCCGAACTTGGACTTCCTTGGCTCAACCTTCTTCAGCCCGACAGATATCCTGTGTTGAGTCCAGGATATCTTTTCCATGGCCAAAAATAATGTCATGTTTTGCTTTATAGGCACATGCTTGACTGGATTCAATCACGCTGGTTGAACAACAATCCCCACCACAACTCAGTTAACCATGTTATATCCTTGGTTCATTTCAACGTACTTTGATCTCTGCACATTTGAAACCTCTTGCATGTATAGACCAACAAATAACTTGTTAGCAATGCCCTGACTGTGTCTAATACATCTTTTATTTGTCCATTCCATCCGTTGCAGTGACATCAGCCAGAATAACCTCACTGGCCAACTCCCACCAGCAATAGGAAGTCTCACTAATCTTACATACCTGTAAGGCATTCTAGCATGCTCAAGTGTTGCAATGTCCATCATAGCAGCCTTGGAGCGTTTAATGAAGAGGAGGTATACAAGGTGTTTCAGTGGTGAACCATAGCCCAAGAGTGCTTAAAGCCACAGACAAGAGGAACACAAGGACCGAACTTGGACTGGCCCAACCTAAACCTCCACGTCAGGCCGTCTTCGAAAGGCGGTTTTATACAAATGTATGGTTCGTCATTGTTTTCAACCTGTATAACACCTTGGCATAGTAGAGTATTGCAATGTGTTCCATACAACTCCAATAGCAACCTCAGGGCGTTTCACTTCGAGCTGAAACCCGTTTTTGATTCCTCGTTTTATAAATGCTCCATGTGCACATGCAGGAACATATCCTCGACTGCAATCACATGCCCACCTGACTACAGCAGCTGCATGGTCCCACAGACCACTTCAAGTGCTTTCTGCAGCCAGTGTGCCTCCTTCTGCACCACATGTGTCAAGTCACCACCAGGTGAGACGCTCGTTACGCAGGCAGCTGCAATTTGTACTGCCTATTTTTACATTGCTCTCATGCTGAGTGTATGAACACCACATTGCCACCCATTGAACAAGCTTTTCCAGTGTCAGATTTGTTTTCAGGTATCAGGCACCCATAGAACAATCTTTTCTAGTGTGACGCATCAGACATCCTCATAAAATGTGTGTTTTTTTTTTTTTTTGCTGTTGCGTGCCTCCTCTTGGCTTTTAATGAGTAGCACCCGTTTAAACCCTTCAATGCCTTCCATTACTACCTCTCACTGTGCAAAATGTGCCTGATGCTACATCCACTTTCACCAAGCCCACCGTCATCCCCATGTCTGATTTCCCTTTCCCCTTCCCTTTCTCCATCTTCTATCCCATTATTGTACCGTCCCCATCGACAGTGCCAGAACCTTCTCCATCGCCAGCGCCAGCACCCTCCCCATCGCCAGCACCAGCACCCTCCTCATCGCCAGCACCAGCACCTTCTCCACCTCCTCCCACTTCAACTCCAGTACGCGGTGTCCCTTTCGCCGCCTCCCAAGGTTCGTTCTTGTAGGCGAACTTGACGTTCAGTCGGCCGCGCGCCCTGCCCCCAACCCTCCCCTGCAATCGTTTATGTATTTTGTTTGCCCTTACAGATGTCATGTATTATGGAGTCCTGGTGCATTACAGAAGGGTTCCGTGAAGGTGTCACATGACGATGGCACTATGCAGGACGCCTTCGGCCTCGGCATCCAACGCGCCTCGTCACTGTGACCGTAACAGTTTCTCGATTTCGCCGCTGTGTCTTCCGCTACCAAAGTTCGTCTTTTGGTCAAGCTCATGCCGCTCCAGTTACCAAAACGTGTCATGCACATGTTACTGGTTTCAGCGGCAGTTACCATCGTGCCATGGTGGCAGATCATTACAGCCAAGTCACGGCTTCACACGTATCCGATGCACGGAGTCCGTCAGATCCATGATCCAATGATCAAGATTGACCGGCCAATTTCAAGATTTGAATTGCAGCAGTGTGCAAATCGTTTCTCAGCATAGCGATTCCCCGAATATTCTCTCAACCACATCATGTGGAACACAATTTCCTCATGCCTGCCCATCACATCTTTTTGCTCTAATTATATCTCGTGCGGTGTTTGAGAGAGGGAGGGAAGGCCACGCGACGCTGATGAGCTGATCAATTAATCTCTTCTTCCCTCCCACCCCCTCAGAAGCAGGGTGCATCTCTCACCTTGTGTTTTCTCTATCTTGCTCCATTTTGGCCCCTCTCCTTCCGGCAGGCTCAGGGGGGATTTTTTATGCCTGGGTAGCTTGCTGCCATGGGTGGATGCAGCAATGGCTTATTATTATATAATCATATTTTTTTTTATTTCATTTTTATATTATTGGCATGGGTGTTTTTTTTTGTGTTTTTTTTTATGGGTGGATGGGTGGGGGAATTTTTTTTTTTTAATCTCTCGCTGTGCCTAATGGAGCTCAGGACCGCTCGTTCCAACGACACTTACCTCCTATTTGAGCTCCTCCCCTGTTAAAACCTCTTATGAACCAGTGATCACGTTATGCCCATGCTTCTGTGCGCATAATGCTTCACGCTTATCATTTTTAGTGTCCGAGTCACGGTTTCTGGGTACTTCACCGTCACATGTGTCCATTCCGCGATCGTGTGGAACAGAGTGAGAAGGGAGGGAAGAGAAGTGTTCGACACAGCCCCTCCTTCTATCATTCTCTTTCCCTCCTGCCCCCCTTTCCCCCACATCTGCCGCCAGTCCAAGTCCTGCAGGACTTGCAGCAAGCGTGGGGGATGATTTTCTCTGGATGGGTGGCTGGGGGGGACTGCAGGTTGGCCTACGGTGTGGAGTGCGATGCGCAAGGCATGGTGACCAGCATGTGAGAGCACCAAACTCTGACTGGTCTTCCATCCCCCATGTGCATACCAGCACTTGCTGGCCTTGACTTTGGTTCCTCTGTTTCCTCTCTCCACCATTCCGCGTGCTCTGTATTTGCAATCCCTTGTTACATTTCGGCATGTTAGCTCTTGCTGGCTATGCATTCCCTGGACGACTTTTTGTGTTTTAATTTTGTTCACGTGCACTCCCTTGCTTCTTGAACCGTTCATCCCACGGTCCTCCTCTCGTCCAAACTCGCTATCTGCTCTTGGAATCGTCCCTACCATGTCCCTCCACATGCTTGACTTACATGTTGCAACACAATATTAAAAAGCATACTTTCTTGGATCTCTGGAATGACCCCGCAACTAATGTGCTAATATTGCTAGTGTTTGAAATGGTTGAAGACATGGGATTTTATTGAGGGAGAGAGCGAGCAGGACAGTCACAGTTCTAGTAGTTCTATCATACCCAGGCCAGGGAACTAGGAGACATGCCGAGGGGCATGGCAACAGTTGCTACTGCAGCAGGTTCATTTGGGAAAGCAGTTCGATGGATTCTGTCAAGGGAGAAGTAGAGAAAATGGGCAAGTGGAAGGAGAGATGTGGAAACGTTCGCTGTGAGTGTGCTGGGTGTCCGCTGGACAGGTTGCTACGTGCTTGGAGTTCCCATGCAGAACTCTGTGTCGGAATGAGACTCACAATGCCAGTGCCATCTATTAAAAGCAAATCCGCTTCTTCAAAATGTCACCATAGAACGTTTCATCCATACGAAAACGTGGAAAGGGAAGTCAGACATTTGAAAGCGGTAAAAGGTGTTAATGCTGTCTAATCTACCTTTATCACCCCCACCTCCCCTTCCCCGTTTCCATCATTTTCCCTTGCTTGGCTCATATTGACATGCGTTCAATATGAACCTATAGTTATATGCTACCCTAATGCACCTCTCAGGTTTCTATCACCTCTATGCATGTAGGCACGGCTGGAAAACATGTGGGTTGCATGGACCTCTTCTCATTTGAATTGATTAGGGTTTAGGGTAATCCTCATATCATTTGTAATGCTCTCCACCCATTCCATTCCACTTCCCACCAGGTATCTGTATGAGAGTTTCTTAACCGGATCCATTCCAGACTCCATCAGTGCCTTGGACAGGCTAACCTATCTGTGAGTATGAGTGGTGGGAGCATGCACACGAGTGCGAGCATGTAGAGATGGGCATATGCAGAGATGAGCCTGAGCAAGGCATGAGCAATGACCTGTAACCAACTCGTGATGAGCCGTGGGTGACCATCATGGTATGATGGAAATCCAGTGGCCAGCTTGTCATGAGCCGAAGGTTGGTCCTGCCAGTTTTTTAGTGCCAGCGATCCTATCCATGAAGTGTAGCCGAGGGGAGCCACAAGCTCGTGTGGCTTGCCTGTTGCCGGCTTGTCAAGAGAGGAATGTCATGAAAAGGAGTTTTCGCATGCACCTATGAGTGTGAGATATGATAATATATGAAAGTAACTATGACAGATGAGAGCGTGCATCAGGATATGGCAAGGTTCTCACAACGCATCCATGTCATGTTTAGCTTTATAAGCACATGCTTGACTGGACTCAGTCACGCTGGTTGAACGAAAATCCCCACCACAACGTAATCAACAGTGTTAATTCCTTGGTTCATTTCTTCGTACTTGAATCTCTGCGCATTTGACCAACAAAAAACTTGTTAGCAATGCCCTGACTGTGTCTAGTACATATTTTATTTGTCATTTCCATCCGTTGCAGTGACATCAGCCAGAACAACCTCACTGGCCAACTCCCACCAGCAATAGGAAGTCTCACTAATCTTACATACCTGTAAGGCATTCTAGCATGCTCAAGTGTTGCAATGTCCATCATAGCAGCCTTGGAGCGTTTAATGAAGAGGAGGTATACAAGGTGTTTCAGTGGTGAACCATAGCCCAAGAGTGTTTAAAGCCACAGACACGAGGAACACAAGGACCGAACTTGGACTGGCCCAACCTAAACCTCCACGTCAGGTCGTCTTCAAAAGGCGGTTATATACAAATGTATGGTTCGTCATTGTTTTCAGCCTGTATAACACCTTGGCATAGTAGAGTATTGCAATGTGTTTCATACAACTCCAATAGCAACCTCAGAGCATTTCACTTCGAGCTGAAACCCGTTTTTGATTCCTCGTTTTATAAATGCTCCATGTGCACATGCAGGAACATATCCTCGACTGCAATCACATGCCCACCTGACTACAGCAGCTGCATGGTCCCACAGACCACTTCAAGTGCTTTCTGCAGCCAGTGTGCCTCCTTCTGCACCACATGTGTCAAGTCACCACCAGGTGAGACGCTCGTTACGCAGGCAGCTGCAATTTGTACTGCCTATTTTTACATTGCTCTCATGCTGAGTGTATGAACACCACATTGCCACCCATTGAACAAGCTTTTCCAGTGTCAGATTTGTTTTCAGGTATCAGGCACCCATAGAACAATCTTTTCAGTGTGACGCATCAGACATCGTCATAAAATGTGTTTTTTTTTTTTTTTTTTTTTTTTTTTTTGCTGTTGCGTGCCTCCTCTTGGCTTTTAATGAGTAGCACCCGTTTAAACCCTTCAATGCCTTCCATTACTACCTCTCACTGTGCAAAATGTGCCTGATGCTACATCCACTTTCACCAAGCCCACCGTCATCCCCATGTCTGATTTCCCTTTCCCCTTCCCTTTCTCCATCTTCTATCCCATTATTGTACCGTCCCCATCGACAGTGCCAGAACCTTCTCCATCGCCAGCGCCAGCACCCTCCCCATCGCCAGCACCAGCACCCTCCTCATCGCCAGCACCAGCACCTTCTCCACCTCCTCCCACTTCAACTCCAGTACGCGGTGTCCCTTTCGCCGCCTCCCAAGGTTCGTTCTTGTAGGCGAACTTGACGTTCAGTCGGCCGCGCGCCCTGCCCCCAACCCTCCCCTGCAATCGTTTATGTAATTTGTTTGCCCTTACAGATGTCATGTATTATGGAGTCCTGGTGCATTACAGAAGGGTTCCGTGAAGGTGTCACATGACGATGGCACTATGCGGGACGCCTTCGGCCTCGGCATCCAACGCGCCTCGTCACTGTGACTGTAACAGTTTCTCGATTCCGCCGCTGTGTCTTCCGCTACCAAAGTTCGTCTTTTGGTCAAGCTCATGCCGCTCCAGTTACCAAAACGTGTCATGCACATGTTACTGGTTTCAGCGGCAGTTACCATCGTGCCATGGTGGCAGATCATTACAGCCAAGTCACGGCTTCACACGTATCCGATGCACGGAGTCCGTCAGATCCATGATCCAATGATCAAGATTGACCGGCCAATTTCAAGATTTGAATTGCAGCAGTGTGCAAATCGTTTCTCAGCATAGCGATTCCCCGAATATTCTCTCAACCACATCATGTGGAACACAATTTCCTCATGCCTGCCCATCACATCTTTTTGCTCTAATTATATCTCGTGCGGTGTTTGAGAGAGGGAGGGAAGACCACGCGACGCTGATGAGCTGATCAATTAATCTCTTCTTCCCTCCCACCCCCTCAGAAGCAGGGTGCATCTCTCACCTTGTGTTTTCTCTATCTTGCTCCATTTTGGCCCCTCTCCTTCCGGCAGGCTCAGGGGGGATTTTTTATGCCTGGGTAGCTTGCTGCCATGGGTGGATGCAGCAATGGCAAATTATTATATAATCATATTTTTATTTTTATTTCATTTTTATATTATTGGCATGGGTGTTTTTTTTTGTGTTTTTTTTTATGGGTGGATGGGTGGGGGAAATTTTTATTTTTAATCTCTCGCTGTGCCTAATGGAGCTCAGGACCGCTCGTTCCAACGACACTTACCTCCTATTTGAGCTCCTCCCCTGTTAAAACCTCCTATGAACCAGTGATCACGTTATGCCCATGCTTCTGTGCGCATAATGCTTCACGCTTATCATTTTTAGTGTCCGAGTCACGGTTTCTGGGTACTTCACCGTCACATGTGTCCATTCCGCGATCGTGTGGAACAGAGTGAGAAGGGAGAGAAGAGAAGTGTTCGACACAGCCCCTCCTTCTATCATTCTCTTTCCCTCCTGCCCCCCTTTCCCCCACATCTGCCGCCAGTCCAAGTCCTGCAGGACTTGCAGCAAGCGTGGGGGATGATTTTCTCTGGATGGGTGGCTGGGGGGGACTGCAGATTGGCCTACGGTGTGGAGTGCGATGCGCAAGGCATGGTGACCAGCATGTGAGAGCACCAAACTCTGACTGGTCTTCCATCCCCCATGTGCATACCAGCACTTGCTGGCCTTGACTTTGGTTCCTCTGTTTCCTCTCTCCACCATTCCGCGTGCTCTGTATTTGCAATCCCTTGTTACATTTCGGCATGTTAGCTCTTGCTGGCTATGCATTCCCTGGACGACTTTTTGTGTTTTAATTTTGTTCACGTGCACTCTCTTGCTTCTTGAACCGTTCATCCCACGGTCCTCCTCTCGTCCAAACTCGCTATCTGCTCTTGGAATCGTCCCTACCATGTCCCTCCACATGCTTGACTTACATGTTGCAACACAATATTAAAAAGCATACTCCCTTGGATCTCTGGAATGACCCCGCAACTAATGTGCTAATATTGCTAGTGTTTGAAATGGTTGAAGACATGGGATTTTATTGAGGGAGAGAGCGGGCAGGACAGTCACAGTTCTAGTAGTTCTATCATACCCAGGCCAGGGAACTAGGAGACATGCCGAGGGGCATGGCAACAGTTGCTACTGCAGCAGGTTCATTTGGGAAAGCAGTTCGATGGATTCTGTCAAGGGAGAAGTAGAGAAAATGGGCAAGTGGAAGGAGAGATGTGGAAACGTTCGCTGTGAGTGTGCTGGGTGTCCGCTGGACAGGTTGCTACGTGCTTGGAGTTCCCATGCAGAACTCTGTGTCGGAATGAGACTCACAATGCCAGTGCCATCTATTAAAAGCAAATCCGCTTCTTCAAAATGTCACCATAGAACGTTTCATCCATACGAAAACGTGGAAAGGGAAGTCAGACATTTGAAAGCGGTAAAAGGTGTTAATGCTGTCTAATCTACCTTTATCACCCCCACCTCCCCTTCCCCGTTTCCATCATTTTCCCTTGCTTGGCTCATATTGACATGCGTTCAATATGAACCTATAGTTATATGCTACCCTAATGCACCTCTCAGGTTTCTATCACCTCTATGCATGTAGGCACGGCTGGAAAACATGTGGGTTGCATGGACCTCTTCTCATTTGAATTGATTAGGGTTTAGGGTAATCCTCATATCATTTGTAATGCTCTCCACCCATTCCATTCCACTTCCCACCAGGTATCTGTATGAGAGTTTCTTAACCGGATCCATTCCAGACTCCATCAGTGCCTTGGACAGGCTAACCTATCTGTGAGTATGAGTGGTGGGAGCATGCACACATGAGTGCGAGCATGTAGAGATGGGCATATGCAGAGATGAGCCTGAGCAAGGCATGAGCAATGACCTGTAACCAACTCGTGATGAGCCGTGGGTGACCATCATGGTATGATGGAAATCCAGTGGCCAGCTTGTCATGAGCCGAAGGTTGGTCCTGCCAGTTTTTTAGTGCCAGCGATCCTATCCATGAAGTGTAGCCGAGGGGAGCCACAAGCTCGTGTGGCTTGCCTGTTGCCGGCTTGTCAAGAGAAGAATGTCATGAAAAGGAGTTTTCGCATGCACCAATGAGTGTGAGATATGATAATATATGAGAGTAACTATGACAGATGAGAGCGTGCATCAGGATATGCCAAGGCGCTCACAATGCATCCAGTCTGCAACACAAATGAGTCATAGACAGTGGACCATTCAAGCCCATAGAGAACTTGCACTGGCCATAGGTAGGAGGTATGTGAACTACCAAAGGCCGAACTTGGACTTCCTGGACTCAAAATTCTTCAGCCCGACAAATGGCCTATGTAGAGTCCAAGATGTCTTTCGCATGGCTGGAAAGTATGTCATGTTAAGCTTTTTAGGCGCATGATTGACTGGACTCAGTCACGCTGGTTGAACAAAATTCTCCAACACAACTCAACTAACCATGCTAACCTGAAATCGCCTCTTGAAATATGCAGACCTTCCCACAATCTATGCCCTTTCCATATCCTCTCTGATTGTCTACCACCTTCTACCAATCCTTGGTTCATTTCTTCGTGCTTGAATCTCTCTCTTCCATGTATACACCAAAAAAAATCTTGTTAGCAATGCCTTGACTGTGTCTATTCTGCCTATTACCTGTCATTTCTATCCATTGCAGTGATATTAGCCAGAACAACCTCGCTGGCCAACTCCCACCAGCAATTGGCAGTCTCACTCATCTTTCATACCTGTAAGGCATTCTAGCATGTTGAAGTATTGCAACGTCCATCATAGCAACCTAGGAGCATTTCATGAAGAGGAGGCATACAAGGTGTTCCAGTCGAGTACCATTGCCCAAGTTTGTTTAAAGCCACAGGCATAAGGTACACAAGGACCGACCTGCGCACCAGGAATCTGTATGACGATGGCTTAACTGGATCCCTTCCTGATTCCATCAGTGCCTTGGACAGGCTAACCTATTTGTGAGTATGAGTGGTGGGAGCATGCACACATGAGTGTGATCATGTAGACTCGGGCATATGCAGAGATGAGCCTGAGCAACGCATGAGCAATGGCCTGTAACCAATTCGTGATGAGCTGTGGGTGACCATCATGGTTTGATAGCCATCCAGTGGCCAGCTTGTCATGAGCCGAAGGTTGGTCCTGCCAGTTTTTTAGTGCCAGCGATCCTATCCATGAAGTGTAGCCGAGGGGAGCCACAAGCTCGTGTGGCTTGCCTGTTGCCGGCTTGTCAAGAGAGGAATGTCATGAAAAGGAGTTTTTTGCATGCACCAATGAGTGTGAGATATGAGAATATATGAGAGTAACGATGACAGATAACAGCGTGCATCAGGATACAATAAGGATCTCACAATGCATCCAGCTTGCAACACAGATGAGACATAGACAGTGGACCATTCGCGCCCATAGAGGTAGGAGGTATATTAATTACCAAAGGCTGAACTTGGACTTCCTTGGCTCAACGTTCTTCAGCCCGAAAAATGGCCTGTGTTGAGTCCAAGATGTCTTTTCCATGGCCAGAAAGTATGTCATGTTTAGCTTTATAGGCACATGCTTGACTGGACTCAGTCACGCTGGTTGAACAAAAATCCCCACCACAACTCAATTAACCGTGTTACATCCTTGGTTCATTTCTTCGTACTTGAATCTCTGCACATTTGACCAACAAAAAACTTGTTAGCGATGCCCTGACTGTGTCTCATACAACTTTTATTTGCCATTTCCATCCGTTGCAGTGACATCAGCCAGAACAACCTCACTGGCCAACTCCCACCAGCAATAGGAAGTCTCACTAATCTTACGTACCTGTAAGGCATTCTAGCATGCTCAAGTGTTGCAATGTCCATCATAGCAGCCTTGGAGCGTTTCATGAAGAGGAGGTATACAAGGTGCTCCAGTGGTGTACCATAGCCAAAGAGTGTTTAAGGCCACAGGCAGGAGGTACACAAGGACCGAACTTGGACTGGCCCAACCCAAACCTCCACGTCAGGCCGTCTTCAAAAGGCGGTTATATGCAAATGTATGGTTCATCATTGTTTTCAGCCTGTATAACACCTTGGCATAGTAGAGTATTGCAATGTGTTCCATACAACTCCAATAGCAACCTCAGAGCGTTCCACTTCGAGCTGAAACCCTTTTCCGATTCTTTGTTTTATAAATGCTCCATGTGCACATGCAGGAACATGTCTTCGACTGCAATCACATGCCCTCCTGACTACAGAAGCTGCGTGGTCCCACAGACCACTTCAAGTGCTTTCTGCAGCCAGTGCGGCTCCTTCTGCACCACATGTGACAAGCCACCACCAGGTGAGACGCTTCTTACGCAGGTAGCTGCAATTTGTATTGCCTATTCTTACATTGCTCTCATGCCAAGTGCATGAACACCACATTGCCACCCATTCAACAAGCTTTTTCAGTGTCAGATTTTTTTTTCCAGGTATCAGGAACCCATAGAACAATATTTCCTAGTGTCACGCATCACGCATCCTCACGCATCCGCATCCTGTTGCATGCCTTCGCTTGGCTTTTAATGAAGAGTACCCATTTAAACCCGTCAATGCCTCTCTTTGCTACCGCTCACTGTGCAAAATGTGCCTGATGCCACATCCACTTTCACCAAGCCCACCGTCATCCCCATGTCTGATTTCCCTTTCCCTTCCCTTTCTTCATCTTCCGATCCCATTATTGTATTGTCCCCATCGACAGTGCCAAAACCTTCTCCATCACCAGCGCCAGCACCCTCACCAGTGCCAGCACCCTCACCATCGCCAGTGATAGCACCCTCCTCATCGCCAGCGCCAGCACCTTCTCCATCACCAGCGCCAGCACCCTCACCATCGCCAGTGACAGCACCCTCCTCATCGCCAGCGCCAGCACCTTCTCCACCTCCTCCCACTTCAGCTCCTAATGCACCCTCCGCCTCTCCCTCCAAAGGAGGGGCGGTTTATTCAGCGAAGCCATGGCTGGGATTGCTGCTGCTGGCACTGTGGCTGTCCTTGTGTTGCTGCTGCTGCTGAGCTGGCTGCTGTGCCAGCAATGCTGCACCAACGAGGTAGCAGGAGGAGGGGATGGTGACGGCAATATTGGAATAGGCTAGAGTTCACTCTCATAGTTATCATTGTGTTATCTTATTAGAGCAAGTTACACTTCAGGTTTCAGTTTAGTTTAGGTTCAACTCATAGGTTTCACCTTTGATAACACATCATAACTGTAAGACAAACTTGGGTTAGCATTGACACTTGCCACAGGCAGGCTGGCCTGGTTCAGAAGAGGCCTGGCACAAACAACAATAGATAATTCACCACATAAATACAAAGTCCTACAACACACCAACACGCAGAGACAAATTAAGCAAAAGCAAGGCAAACAGAAGAATTACTAAAGAGCATGGGGCGACCTGGGACGTGTTGATATGGAATTTGAGTACCCTCCCATGATCGTGGTGCCAGGGTACCAGGAAGGGGAGGCATAGGAAGAAGGACACAGCAGAGGAGGAGCGGGTGAAAGGACACAGCGTAGGAAAGGCTCATGAAAAGCAGACCAGGAGGGGGCCGGGGGGCGGAGGTCTTGGGGACTGTGACAAGCTAGTCGGCCAACACTAAAGGGCAGTTCTCACCACCAGGGCCAAGGAGGGAGAAGGGGCAGTGGCGAAGATTCACAGAAGGGCAGAGAGAGGAGTCGGGGCAACGGGGTCATGGCTCTGTTGCTCCGGGCCACCTGCTCCTCCAATCTGGCTCAGCCTCAGCCAGCGCTAGCTCGGTGCAGCTTCGGTTTGTCAAGGTTGTGTCCGTCCTTCAGAAGAACAGGTTGTGTGCTTGGCAGTAGGGAGGGAGGGTCGCTTCTGCTGCTGCAGGACCACGGGGAGGGTCACATGTGCCAATGAAGCAGCAGGAGGGCCGATGGTGAGGAGGTGTGAACGTTGATCAAGCTCAGTTATTACGTTATTAGGTACATTGGAGCAATTAGGCCAAGTGTCGGTCTGTTGTGTTAATGAGAAGTTTACAGACAGGCAAATGAGTACTTTGGGAACAGGCATTACAACTACTTAAAAGGCCTGTCACTGCTGCCTACTCCCCCACCACGGCTCTCCCCCATACCTCCCCTCCTCCCTCCCGTTCTCCCTCCCCCTCCTCCATCATTCCCACCCAATCCTCCCTCCCGCTCCTCCTCTCTCCTCCCGCTCTACCCCCTATCCTCCCTCCCTCTCCACCCTCTCTCCTCCTTTCGATTCCATCCCCTTCCTCCCTCCCGTTTCTCAGCGCCTCCTTTTCACCCCACCCCCTTAACGCCCCTTCCTCTGACTCCCACCCCTTCCCCCCTCCCACCCCTCCCATTTTGGTTTCATCCCCGTCCTTTCTCACCTGCACACAGTATCCTATCCATCCTCCTACAGGGATTACGAGACGATGGCCGAAGGGGTAATGGTCTGATGGAAAGATGGGTAATAGGCTGATGGGTTGACAGGAAGATCGTGTGCTGATGTGATGGGACGATTGTGTGATGGTGTGATGTGATGGTGAGATCAAGGGACTTCAATGGGTCAGTCAGTCAGCCATGGGTCAGTCAGCCAGCCATGGGTCAGTCAGTCAGCCATGGGTCAGTCAGTCAGCCATGGGTAAGTCTGTCAGCCATGGGTTAGTCAGTCAGCCATGGGTCAGTAAGTCAGGCACGGGTCAGTCAGTTAACCATGAATCAATCAGTCAACCATGGGTCAGTCAGCCAGCCATGGGTCGATAAGTCAGCAATGGTTGGTGCGGTTGATGGGTCGATGAGTGAGCAATGGGGTTCATGGGTGCAAGTCCCTTCTTTTTTCACCCAAGTCCTTTTTTCTTTGTACATACCATAGGGTCCTTATCGCCACTGGATTACGATTTTACGCTCCCCACTCTCTCTCAAAACCCCTTATACTCACGCTTTTGTCGCCAGCTTTCATTCCTCTCAAGAGACTCTTCCTCTACCGCATCTGACATGGCATTGCATATGAAAGGGCTGTGAAGAAATCAAACCCTTTGTTGCCCATGTGTAGCAGATGACAAGGCACTGAACAGAAGTGGATTTTGTCTGGATCAGGGTTGGCTGATCCATCAGCTGAAGCTGGGAGTTCAGCGATTTCCACCCATAAAGTTTAAAGATTCAGTGTTCACTGTAATATTTAAGCTGATGATTCAGCCTAGGTACATAATCTAATGGTGTGTTTTAGCAAATAGGAAATTACAAGTTACATGTTTGACTTACACTTGAAATGTCGAATTCAAGAAGTGTATTGACAGCATTGCAGGGTCACGCGTAAAACCTGAGGTAACTGGCCATGATCGATGATCGAGTGGTGGAGGGTGGAGGGGGTTGGATGGCACAGCTGGAGCCAGCTCGCGTGCAGGGGGCTCGGAGCCTGGTAGCACTACCAAGCCCGCTACCGAGGGCAAAACGACCCTACCGGGCCAAATTTGTCCGTTGGGTGGGGGATGGTGGAAGGAGGGATGTGGGGGGTAAAAAGGGGGGAGGAGGGGGGGGGGGGGGGGGGGGGTGGGGGGGCGGAGAGGATGGGGTGGTGGGGATGCAACGCAATCTTGTAATTTGAGGGGGGATGAGAGTCTCGCTATGTGCAAAATCAGTTCTGAACACTGGTTTCAGTCTGAGAGTGAAAAAAATCTGGAAACTCAGAAAAGCTACACAAAAAGAAGTCCAAAAGTTCAGCCAAACCAGGGGAACAAAGGCTGCCAACTCAGCCTAGCTAGGTGAAAAACCCTTGAAAAAAGGTTGAATCGGCGTATAATCGCTGCACTCTAGGGATCTGGTCCGGATGCACAGGATACAGGGAGAGAGCATGTGATGCTTTGCGGGTTAGATATGTGGAATGGAAAAGGATTTGCTACGGTATATCATATTACCGTCATCGCCCGGATAGCAGACAGTGTTGAATAATAGACAGGGGTTGTCTATTATCCGGTTGTCTCTTATAAACAGGCTAGCCTCATTATAAGACACCGATTTGTGTGTACGAGATAAGACATATATGTCTTATAATCAGATTAGGGGTTTCGGGGTTTTCTTGTAAACAGGGGGTGTCTTCTAAACGATCACTAGTTCCTTTAGGGGGTATATGCATGTACGTCTATGAATATCTACTTCTACCTAGCCCTCCTCAGTCACGGCCTCCTCCCCTGCACTAACAGCAGGGTCAACACCCAAGTCTGGCACTCGCCAGGCATGCCTGGCCGTCTCCCTAGGATCGATCATGCGGTCAACCTCAGCCACCGCTCCGCGGTAATTGGGGGTCTCCTGGTACAGCACCTCCAGGCTGGTTGCCACGGCCACCTCCTTCACACCCTCCGCCTCCATCTCCTCCTCCTCCTCTGGCGCCTGCCCAAGCAGGCGCGTGTTGTCGCCCGTGGTTCCCCCAAGGCTCATGTCCTCGGAGACATTGACAGTGCTCCTGGCACGCAGGTGAGACATCACCAGGTGGTTTTCCGTCCCGTCCAGCTTGCTTGAAATTCCACAATGGCGGAACGCGTCAATGATGACGTGCTTGGGGACTTGATCCCACGCCTCTACGATCCACTGCAGCACCACGAGGTGCGGAGGCCTCCGGAGGTTCCCTGCGTGTGGGACAAAGGCATGGGTAGCGAGCCGTTAGAGACATGGAAAGAAAACAGAGCAGAAGTTGAATTCACATAACTACTCACCCTTCTTCGTCTTGCGCAGCCGATCAAGCCTTGCACGGTCAACATGCTACTCAGCCGCATCAAGGCCCTTCAGATGGCGGCCAAGATAGAGGCGACCCTGTACAAGGAGAAGGAGCTGCACATCATGCAGGACATCTCGGTCATCAGCACGGAAGTGCGCGTCATGGTTCGCGGAAAGAACAAAGCCGGCACCAAGTAAGATGTTTTAACATCGCCGACTTTGCCAGTCCACTCTAGTATTCCCGCCAATGCTCACCGGCGCTGCTCACACTCAATCATCACCCTCGCACTCTCCTCTTCTGCAGAAAATATGTCGACCGACATCGCGGAACCATCGGCGACACTTACACCACCGAGCAGTTCCGCAGAATCATGTTCAAAGTGTTGCCGCACTGGTCGGCGACGGCGTGGAATCCGGGGGGAACAGGTCCTTCCCAGACTCTGTGGAAGTTCATGCTTATGAGAGCGATGACCCTGCTATCGCACCACACTCTGCTCCGCGGTGCCAGCGTACGCGAGATCACGCTCGCCGACATCTTTCTGTACCGCCTTGCTAGCGGGCCGTCGGTGAACCTTGACAACCGGCCAATGGTCATGGTCATCGCGCAGCGCTACTTGAAGATGTGCAAGGACGCCCGTCTTCATCACAGCTACGCGGCGAGGCACTTAGAGGCGGAACTGTGTGTTGTGGGCGATACAATCCTCTGGCTGCACTTCATCTACGACCAGGTCCCCCAGATCTTCGGCGTCCGCATAATTCCGCCGTTGGACGTACGCCGACCGGAGCTCTGGTACGACAAGCATCTCTTCTTTGCCCGCTACGACAAGGATCAGGGTTTGCTGCCGTCGTCGAGCCAGCAACGAATCACTCGGCAGCTGTGGACGGCCAACAAGGTTTTCATCAAGCGCAACGTGCACGCCGCTCGTGCCGGCGGGGCACAAGAGCTGGCTGACCAAGGCACGCCGCGCGCTGAGATAGCCGAATTGGGTCACTGGGCTATTGACAAGATGACTAGGAGTTACATCACTTCAATTCCAGTCAAGGTGGTGATGAGGAAGGCCGG